AAGATGCTGGGGCTTCTTTGTGGGACTTTTTTGATAGTGGAGCCCACCAGGAGGTAGAAGAAAAAAAAACAAACCACACAAAAAAACAAATCACAGAAGGGCATTGGTTGAGTCATTGTGTGAGTGTGCAGATTTAAAGAAAACCCATCCAGATGTTTTCTGCTCCAGAGTTTTAAAACTAAGGTGTTGACTCAGCTAGTGCCTTAATTAGTTCTCCCCTTTTCTTCTGAACTGAGTAAGGATGCTACTCCCTGTTTGCCCCACTGCCTTTCTAAATTAGCCCCCTGGGTTACAAAAGCAGAATTCATCATTTGCCTAATACACGCAGCCCTGGCTGGCAGGCATTAGGGTCTCTGTGGGGTGGAAGAAATTGAGGTTGAAGGCCTGGTATGAGCCTGCAGAAGAGCTGAGAGTCAGGGTGGGCAGGGTTTGGGAATCTCTTGGGACATGCTAGACCAGCCCACTCCTGTGAGACCCTGGTGGATCTCCAGGTGTTGTCCTTGTGCAGTTACTGGGTATGGGGGAAGAGGAGGGATATTGGGGCAAGAGGTGGCCAGCTAGAAGATTAGTGTCCCTCTTGTGTGATCTCCAAGGAGATCAGCACCTCCAGTGCAGTTTTTCTGCTGCTTTGATTTACACGAAGACCTGGGATCGGGAGGCCACCGAGCTTTCGTTACAGCTGCTTTTGCCCTCTCCTGCTCTGTGCTGCTTCTCTATTGTAGCACATAATTTACTCCCTGACTCTCCATCCTGCAGTTACAGTCCCAGCTCAAAAGTGTGATTACAGCTGCGGCATTGCTGTGTCATTGCCTTTTGTTTGCCACAATACAGCTCTACTTGGGCAGAGCAGAAAGGAAAAGAAATAATAATGATGCATGGATGGAGGGGAAGATCTGACGTGCCTTTCCAGCCCATTTGCTGTGTATTTCATCTCGGGTGGGGACTCTCATTAACTAGTCACTTAGCAGAAGCAACCTGTACCTAAAGGTTAATTTCCACAGCGGTTGTTGCTGGGTTATTTGATGGTGGGTAATTTCCATCCTCAAAAGATTCTTTTACTCCTACCTAGTATTTAATGAGATTAAATTGCAACTTCTCCGAGACCTCGTGGCAGAAGTGTGTATGTGTGGCAGGTGGCCACCAAAGCTTTGTGTGGACTTAATAGAAAGGCACTTGGGGAGCAGAGAGAAAACGCTTTCATAATGAGGGGGAAAAATAGTGGTGATGTTTGAAAGCTTCATAGGTGTTAATAAAAGATACTGCTTTTTCAGTTACACAGAATGATAAATACAATGGGCTTCTGCAAGAATCTGTCTGTAGGACAAAAATTATTGTAACATGACTTTGATGTATGCAGGATGCTCCTTTTAAGGCATGGAGCAAGGTGACCTTTTAAATGAGGTGACTGTGGGTTGAGTTTTCCAGTTGATATAATGTCGCTGGGCCCCATTCTGACCTTGCAGTGTATTTATAATTTTCAATTCTACGGACTGTGTGGGGTTTTTCTTGGAGAAGCTAGTCCTAACGCAACAGCGATCTGGTGAGACCACCGAAGGCAATAGAGCTATTTCTCTTCTGTGTCGGTGCAGTTGGTATCGGGGTGAGCTTTGCTGCAGGGTGCTCGCGTTTGATGTAGGTGGGGCAGCAGATGGGCAGAGGTGGGCGCACGTAGCCTTGGCTGGGCGAGGGGTTGTGCGCGCTGTAGGGAGGTCTGCGCTCTGCTTTGCACGCTCGTCCAGACTTGCTGTCATGCAGATGCTGAAGTGCACTAGGAGCTGCGCCCGTAGTGCTGTCTCTTCCTATACCCTCTAATACGTTTTCTCCAGACTGCTAAAGCCAATGACATCTAGCATTGAACACAATTAAATATGTTTGACATTGAACCAAAAAGCTTCCCTGTGGCTGTTCTGAAAGATTTTTGCTGATATGTTTTTCTTGTGTTTTTTTGTGCAGAGGTTTAACCCCTTGCTCTCGATCTCAGATACTGGGCAGTTCACGAATCTCCTACTAGATGGTTTCTGTGTTCACTTGGAGGGCAAAAGTTTGAATATGTGAAATTCAATAAGCGTCAGGTGGGTGAAATACCCCCTTGACAAAATGCTTTAGAGACAGATGAGAGCCTCTGGATGCTTTTCTTGCATCCCTGTAGAGAGAAGAGGTGAAATGCAGGGTGCGGGCAGGGAGTCAGTGTCCCGAGGAGTTGCACTGGTGGTGAGGTGGGCTGTCAGGCTGGGCAGAATCAGAACCGAGCCTGAATTGTGTTTTACGGTATTGGTACAAAGGCGTTTTGTGTTCTCGGTTTCCCAGCAGCTGTCGGGCAGCCGTGCTATGCAGACAGGGGAGGAAGGCTGACTGCAGTAACATCCCAGGGCATCTCAGCTGTGCAGTGGCTCTTGTTTCACAGCTGTTAAAGACCTCCTTTTTGGGCATGGGGTAGGGGGAGGAGGGGATGCTGGAGATCTCCAGAGCAGGACCCTGGTGTGAGCCCATTCCTTCAGCTCCAGTGGGGACCAACCCCATTCTTACATTCTTCAGGTTGCCCTGACACGATCTTGGCTGGTGTATTTTGTAGCCGCACCGCCCTGACCGACCGCCTTGACCGCGTCTACCTCTGGGAATGGCTCTGGGGTTACAGCAGGTGCCTCTGGCTGGAGTAACCCCAGGCTGGGGCATCTTGCTGCAGCCTTTTCTGGTCATCCCTCCTCCATTCGCCAGGCGTGGATGGGGGTCTCAGCTGCAGAGGGGAAGGGTGCCTGCTGTCCCAGGGGCCAGGTGTCAGCACACGGAGCCAGGGTGGGTTTCAGCTGTCCGGGGATTAGCAGCAGGGAGCCGTGTGCAACGTAGGCACTGACGCAAACCTGCTTGCGTGAGGGAATCTAAGTCTCTCCTCTCCCTGGCACAGGCCAGCAGCCTCCCAAGGAGATAACCTGGGACCTGCGCGTAGTTTCCCTCTGAGATCACCTACTACGCTGTTACGGAGCTTGGCCCTGGCCTCTGCACGTGGTGCGTTTGAAATGGCCAGTCAGTGATTCAGGGGACATGTTTCACTTTTTAAAAGCTTTTGGTCCTGACCATGTCTCTGTGCTTGTGTAATTGATTATCCTCCCGGGAGCTTTACTTTGTCTCAGCAATGCATTACAAGGGTAACATGCAAAAATTCTTGTATGAGGAGTGGCCATGCCGAGGGCTGGTTTACAGATGGAAAGACAGACTATCACCCTGGAGAGGAATACATTCAGATTTTTTGTACTGTTGAAAGATTTGGGAAAATGAGGATCAGTAACCTGAGTTGTACCAAGCTCCAGCATGAAATGGAGGGAAACACTGTTCCCTTTTAGGAGTGTAGGGTTTGATGTTGGTATCAAATTGGGGGAGTTCCCACAGATCTGGGGAGGGTGGTCTCTCTTCTGGTGTGTGTGTGTGGTGGTTTGTTTTTTTTTTCTTCCCTCCAAGTGTGGTTAAGTCAGGCCCTTCCCTGCCTGAACCATTGCATCGTATTCTCCAAGCAGTGAAATGGGCTTTGGTAGCATTAACTGTTTCTGGGGCACAGTGAGAATAAATTTGTGTTTGCAAGAAAGCACTTGACCTGGCAGTCAAACCTGCTAAAGAAGTCTTACAGGTGTAATCGTGCGTGCTCCCTTCCCAGCGCCGTTGTTGCCTTGACACAGTGCACACCAGATACTTAACGAACGGGCAGCCCTCTGTGGAACGATTCCCCATCAGCTTTAAAACCCACTTCTCAGGGAACTATTTTCATCATGTGGTGCTCGGGATTTACTGCAACGGCCGGTACGGCTCACTGGGCATGAGCAGACGATCAGATCTGATGGACAAACCTCTAACTTACCGAACTCTGAGCGACCTCATCTTTGAATTTGAAGACTCCTATAAAAAGTACTTGCATTCAGTCAAAAAAGTAAAAATCGGATTATACGTCCCACATGAGCCGCACAGCTTTCAGCCCATCGAGTGGAAACAGCTGGTCCTCAATGTGTCCAAAATGATGCGCACAGAAGTCAGGAAGGAGCTGGAGAAGTTTGCCAGGGATATGAGGATGAAGGTAGGTCCGCATGCATGGGCAGTGGACTTGGAGGTGGTGTGCCTAGTCCCATCCTGCAGAGGCTGGTCTTGCTCCATGTCAGCAGACTGACCCCGGCCTGAGATTAAGGCGGTATCAGGTGGGCTGGGGGTGTGCTTACATCTGTCTCAGTGGTTCTCCCACAGGGTTTGGTGTGTTTTCAAGCCCTTATATCTATTTTTTTAGCTCAAAGATCTCCCCTTCAGCCTGGGAAACACTTGAACCCATACTTGTCCCTGGCCATCAAGGAGCTATTCCCCAGTTTGCTTTTTTCACCAACTCCAGAAGGTGGCTGAGAAGAACTAGTGTGCCTGGGGCTGGAGCTGGTGGGGTGGGTGGCCTGCTCACAGGCAGGGATCTCTGCTCTTTGCATCTGAGCTGCAAGGGGTGCCATGGGACAGCCGTGTCAGTGGCTGCTTCACCTTGCAGGGCATGCTGGTGGGCTTGCCCTGCACCACCTGATGCCCACCACCCTCAGCTAAATCACAGAGTAGGTTACATGGGAAGGGTGAGGAAAGCGAGTCCCTGACAGGCTGGTGCTTCCCCACTGACTGGTTGGACAGAGACCCAGAGGGAAACGACAGGGAGACAGGGCAGGCTGCCAGGGAGCTGGAGGGTTTGGCTGCCCTTGGGGATGAGGGGTGTCCCTGACCGTGCCTCCGGGGCTGGCGTGGGCGAGGAGCTGGTTGTGGTCATGGTGGAAGGGGATTTGGTGCCTTTCCAGCCTGCTGCTGGCGGCAGGAGCAGAGCAGGTGTGTTGCTAAGTATGGGGCTGGCTCTTGTGGAGAGGCATGCGGCCTCGCATCCAAGTTATTCTGGGTTCCTGTCCCCTGCCCTGCTGAGGAATGGCTCCTACGTAGCAGCCGCATGCCTTTTTGGCTGAGGCACCTGCCCCCTCGCCCTGACCTTGTGTCGCCAGTGACATCGTAGCCCCTATGTCCTGCTGCCACCTCTCCTGCCCTGCCAAGGCGTCTTTGAGGCCCAACTTCTACCATACTGTCACCTTAAGTAGATGTGCTTGATCACAGATGTAATGAAGCTTTTTTTCCCTGTCTTCTCTATTCACGCACTTTTAATACCATCTAGAGAGCAAACAGCTGAAGCAGGCTCTAGCTGAAGAGTATGGGTGGATGACTTACTGAACGTAGTACTTGCTTTTGATAGAGGGACCAGCTCTGTGTGTGTGCTGAGCTGTGACGTTGGGTGCAGCCCTTGTAAGTGCCTCAAGGCCAGGACCACAGCCTTGAACCCTTGAAGGCTGAATCTGACCCTTTCTGTGAGTTAAATCAGAATTTGAGCTACTTGGTTCAGAGGGCTCCCGTTGTGAGGGCGCTGACTTTGGAGGACCAAGTCTTAAAAATAGCCTGGAGTGCGAGTGCCATGCTGATGGACTTCTGAAATTGGAGGGCCTGGGGGATGTGGGCAAGTGTGTGAATGGACAGGAGACCTACTGAAAAGTCCCGCTGTCTCATAGAGTTCAACTGCCAGCCTGGGAGGCGATCGCCTCTGTTTGCAGAGGAAAACAGGAGAGGGCGATTTGGCTGTGTTACTTTCCTTCAGCTGAGGCTCAAAGCCGTGTTTCCTATTCCTTGCTGTTGCCAGCTCTGAAGAAGGCTGCGGAGGAGACCTTTTTTTCAGTATTTAGCTGGGAACTGAATTGGTAACACCAACTAATTTTTGCAGGGGGCCCCTGAACAGCTGTCACATGAAACAGCTTTGGGTTCCTCTTAACCTGGGCAGGGTTTGAATAAGCCCTAAGGGACTGAAGGCTCTTTGTGTGCCGTTCCTGCTACTTTATGAGGCCCTTTATTTTTATTTTTTATTTTCAGTGAATCATTGCCTTCATTGAACGCCTTTTTCTTCCCTCCCCCATCTCTCGCAGATTCTGAAACCCTCAAGTGCCCATTCTCCGATGAAAGAGAGATCACGGGGTAAGTCATTGTCCCCTCGCCGAAGGCAAGCCAGCCCTCAGAGACGCGTGTGCAGAAGAGACAAATCGTGAGTGTTATTGCTGCCATCACTGGTGGGTCAGAAGTTGAGGGTGATGATGTATTATTTTGCTGTACAAAACTTATATGCGCACACTGGCGTATGTAGGAAAACCGCACCAGGTATCTTGGTTGCCTGAGAAGCTCCAGAAGCTGCCAGTGCTGCCAGTGTCCTGGCATTGCTGTGCTTACTGCTGCCCGATGGCCCCTCCCTGTGGTGTCCTTGGAGGCCCTGGTGGCCTTTGCTTGGTTAAATTCTATGAGGTGTTGGATGACTGTGAAAGTGGAAGCGTGGGTTTCGCCTTTTCTTTTTTCAGTCTTTACACAGTCCACTTTCCAGAGAAATGAACCTAGCCTGGCGTGCAGGGGACCTGTACAGGAGGGAAAGTAGTTTGATCACGTTTAAGGGTGCTCGGACATAGGTATTAAAAACAGGAGGATGTACCTGCTAGCGGTGGTGGGGTGCCCTGCTGTCATGGTCACTGAGACAGAAATTGGATTCTCCGTGATGAGCCTTCATATGGAGCTGTTCTGATGGAATGGTTTTCGCTGAGGACTGTCTGACTTACAGGGATGGTGAAAAAGTAAACCTTTTCTTGCCAAAGCAGAAACATCACTTGCATTGTATTTTTTTATTTTAATCGGCTTAAAAAAACCCCAGACCGCTTCCCTTATACGTCGTAGCTAATAGTTTTTCTTTAACTGGGCGGAGAAGGATGGACTAAGTGAATGCAATACCTCTAGAAGGATAAAACTGAGCTTCCAGATCACAGGCCTTTTACAGCCACTGGCAATTCAGACTCCCATACCTTAGATGTGGAAGAGTTGAGTTTTAGCTCTACTGCTTCATGCCAGGAAGCTGACAACTGTGAAAGCCTATACGTAACCTAGATTAGCCACATATTTATGATCATTGCTTTTTAAATAGGCTCCCAGACTACTGTCTCAGCACTTATTTATTTATTTTAAAACAGCTAACAAAGACATTAGGCTAACCTTCTAAAGATAACTTCAAGATACTTTAGCAGCAGACGATTTCACAGCAGGCTTTTATTTTTACATGTGAATTCACACTCAGTCCACAATGCTGTACTTTGGGCTTCATCACCGAGAGCACCTTGTTTAGTGCATGGATAAATATAGTTGTAATGGGCTCAGCTACTCCAGGCTTCTTCACCTCCTAGATTTGCTTTGAGGGATGGTTTTGTCTTTGGGTTTCTGATAGCGCTTCTGTGGTTGCTGGAGTGGATCACGCATGCCTGGAGAGAAGGGTGAGTCTCGCTGGGCTTGGAGACTTGCCAGTTGGGCTTGTTTCCTGAGCAAACTGCTGGGCACGTGGCTGCTCTGCAGTGGCTGGTTCCTCCTTGGCAGCTTTGCTTTTCCAGGACAGAAAGACAAGTGAAGTACTGGTCGCCTTGCCATGTCTTCGGCACCTGTTACCTGCTCGGTGGTTCTGCTGTGTTGCTGTGTATCTAGAGCGAATTATATGTTATTCTAAAATAAACCCTGGGTCACCATGGTAAGAAGATTCGGGACCCAGCTATAGCATGATGCAGAGAGCAGGAGACCGAGAGCAGACTCCACACAGGAGACCTTCATCTCTGCTTTGGCGGAAGGTGCTGAAGTGTCTCAGAGCGGGTGGGAGCTCTTGCAGCACATGCTTTGTGGCTGCGTGACAGCCCTGCGGGTCCTCCACAGCGCCCTCGCAGGCCTGCCCAGTACACTTGGAAGGAAAAGGGCAGTGAAGGAGCTTTCGGCAGGTTCAGGGCCCTTGAGCCGACCCAAGAGGCTGCTCTCTGTTAGAAAAGTGATGCCAGGGAGAAGAACTGGGTTCCCGATGTCAAAATGATGCTTCTGTGCAGTGGCGCTGTGGCTCGAAGGCTGACTGTGCCTTTTGCCCTGGCGGGAGTGGTGCTGCAGAGGAGCGTGCTGCTGTAGGGAGTTCTCTGCTGGTAATAAAACCCTTTCGCTTCCAAAATCGAGATCTGCTGGTTTCTGCAATGGGAGGTCTCCGAGACCTGAAGGGGGAATGGCATCCCCTCATCAGGGATGAGCTGAATGACACATACCAGCATATACAGTGGTTGATATGCGGGGTGAGAAATACAAGAGGGAAACTTCGGTATTTTCTTCGACATATTGATGGATCTCTGAGAACCTAGCTGCAGTGAGAAGCCTTTGTGTTACACACAGAAGAGGAAAGACTTCCAGGCTTGCTAGGCTTTAGGCTGAAATCCTAGCTAAAGAATGGCCGTGTTTATCAACACTGTGTTTTGTTTCTTTGTGGATCTCTTACTCGCATGCTGTAATTACAGCTTTTTAGAGCTTGCAGGGGAGGGGGAGAGAAGTGTTTTGCTCTAGTGTGAGCTGGCAGGGGCTGAATAACACATTCATTTGAGAGGCTTCACCTGCTGATGACAAGCTGTTATTACAGCCTGGTTTTTGTCAAGAATAAAATCATATGGGCCTGCTGGGAGAAATCTCCCAGTGAAAGATATGTGAACTGGAATGGTGAACTGGAATGTCTTTGCTGGATTGTTTCTGAAGGACAGAGGCTGAAGCGGTGCTTAAGGACAGAAGTGGATTTTACAGCCTCAACCCTTTAACCTGGTTCCTTACTAGTTTGTTAGGTAAATGCCGGTGGTGGCCGCTAGCAAGCCCACGATAGCATTTTAGCCTGGAAACACAGCTACAAGGCAGATAGAGTACGTTGCAGGACACGGGTGGCAATGCAACAAGCGGTACGTGCCTGTCTAGGAGACTGGCGTGTAGTCAAATTGCAGCTCATTAACTGAGCTACGTAAAGGTCCATGTGCTCTTAGCCCACAGCTGGTGTGATCCTGCTAAGGGTGGCCAGCAGACAGGATGAATAAAGAGGATATAGGGTGGTGTGAAGCTGCCTGGTAAGTCTGACACGTTACTGTGTCCACTTGTCCATCCTCTGAAGTCCCAGACCAGGACGGTGCTGTAAATTGCAAGTCACTGTGCTGGAACAGGCAACGCAGTGCTTTGTCCTCAATAGAAGTTCTTGGAGCTGGAGGGGTTTGGGAGTGTTGATACGAGTTTGGAAGGGAGTATCATGTGGCAGCCTGAAGCACGCTCTGCTCCTAAATGTCAGTTCACCAGATCTATTTCCTTTTAATTTCATACTGAGGCTTAACACATGCATGCTCTGAGTGTCATAGCAACACTGGCCTTGTGTGCTTCTGGCCTACTTCAGCTGTTGAAAGGAACATTCTGTTAGTCCATTATATCAGGATGTACAAGGGGGCAGGATTATATTAGGATTATATTATATTTATTATATTAGGATGTGCAAAATCAGGCAGATGGAATGCAGACAACTCATGAATACTGTGTACCCAGCAGCTATGCACAGTTTATTCATGTGCTCATCATCACGGCACCTCGGACAGGAGGTGCAATTTGATGGGCCAGTATAGCAGGGGTCCCTGGCTTCAGAAGGGATGTTTGACATCAGGTCATTGCCAGCCAAGGAAAATAGGAGCTGCGGTGCCTCTGCTCCAACAAATCCTTGCCTCTTCCTAAAACCCTGAAGAGAAACCTTATGGAGGACAGTCTGTTTGTAGCTACAAGCTAGAGAATTGTCATGGAGTGGAAATGGGCGTGTTGCCATGGGTGTGCAGTGACTCCCCATCTCTCTTAGATAGTCAGAGAAGGTAGAACCATCCAGGTGTGCTTTAATTAAAACCACATTCTGGTTTTAATTAAAGGGAGGGAGGGGGAAAAGGGTGGGAAGGGAAGAGGATCCCTAAATTGGAGGGAGGGAGGGAGGAGGGACAGACGCTCTGGAAGAAACAGTGGGTCTCTTGCTGGTCTCGGACTCCTGCGCAAGCTCTGAGGGATGCAGCTTGTAACTTGTTTTCTGGCTAGTCAAATCCCATCTGCTCTGAAGGAATAAAGTGGAAAAATCCCAACTATCTTACAATGACTTCTTCAGGTGCGATCCTTTCCTGCCAGTGAGAGAGACCAGTGAAGACTCCTTTGCTTCTGTGCAGTACTTACAAACTGAGACAAACATGAGGCAGGGAGCAGGGCAGTGCTGCAAAGTGGAGGATGGGGCTATTAACAGAGGTGCTCGGATATGTGGCAAAAAAACAGGTTGCATTCAATGTGTGACTAGGCAGAAGAGCATCAGTTGTCTGTAGCAATGTCCCCTGCTCTCGAATGCTGTGTAGATTTTCACCAGAGATCTGGTGTTAGCAGCTCTGCTCTTAAAAAAAAAACAAACCAAACCAAACAACCACTTACTGAATCAAAGAATTCTGAAATATTTCTGAGGCTCTGCCACACAGGTGTCTGTGTGCGTGCGCAAGCTATTCATCCCCACCTCTGCAGCGGTACTGCTGCTCCCGTGGCCCGGCTGGCTGCCCAGAGCGGCTTCGGCAGAAACAAGCAGGCAGCGTGCAATGAGGAGGTAAGTGTCAGCCCTGCGTGTGCAAACTCATGGGTCACATCTGCCGCCCAGTGAGCAAAAAGTAAGTGTGAGAGCTGGAAACCAGGTCTGAGGAGCTGTAGGAAAGCACTGGGGCTATTACCAGCTTCACATTGTACTGCTCAGGCTTTAGCTGAGTTTTTGCAGTGAAGCGGACATGCTGTAGAGTCTACTAGGAGAAACCTGTATTTTAAACGATGTTTTTCTTTAGAAAAGCAAACATATGGCTCAGTTTGAAAATAGCTAAGAGCCTGGAATAAGCTCTCAGATTAGACACTGCCACAGACTGTAAATCGCCAGGATTCTTTCAGTTTGACAACGTTGTTGCAGGAGCTTTTCCATGGCTTGCTGAAGAGGGAGAGACTGATTGCTCAATCTCAAGGTTTCATTTGGTTCAGGTTGTTTGATATACTTAAATGACCTAACAGCATACGTGCATGTGTGATTACTGAAGTGAATGGCTGGACTGTATCAGAATATAAGATGCCTGGAGACTGAAGGGAGTTCATCTTGTGTTTTCTATTTGGTGGGCTCTAGCCCTTCACACAGACCTAGCCAAGAGGAAAGGTCAGGTTCAGAGAGACAGCATGCTGTGGCCATGTGAGAGGCCTTGCCTGTTTGCTCTCAGCAGTTCCCACTTTATTCCAAAAGCCGGAGTCCTGCTCTGGGGTAGATCACGGGCGAGATGTGTCTAGTCTTAGCTACTCATTTAGGCGCTCTCTCAAGTCAGCGGGAGAGGGGTGCTCCCAGGCTCAGATCACGGACCCCAGGATGGGACGACTTGTTTTTCGCCAGTGCTTGGCTTCAGAGGCAACCACGTGAGCAGCTTGATCGCACTAGTTGATGTGACAACTCAGCAGGATCGTGCTTATGATGAGAAAATTAGATCTAGTCAGTCCTATTTTGAAGTAAACCGTTCCTGATTTGACAACTGCTCTCTCCGCTCCTGCACTGCAGTCTGGGATTGCTGGTGAGCAGCGCCCTCTTCCCTCCTTTGCTCACAGGCCTGCGGTGGTGGACAAGAAAGGAGAACTGGCTACGCTCAACGAGGTAGGCTACCAGCTCCGCATCTAACAAAGCCATACGCCGGACAGAGGGCTTCCCTGGTGCTTCCCGCTGCACTTCACCCGCACTCCGTTGGAAGGAAAAAGGAATGGGACTATTTATTAACTTGTGGACTCTTATAGAAGGGGGGATTTTTTTTTTTGTGGCAGTATTTATTTTCTTTCAATTCATAGAAAAGGCATCAGTGAAGAGAACCTAAAATTATGTTTAGCAGGATATAAGACTTTTTTTCCCCTCTATCATGTAGCAGGTGACTCCAGTGGTGTGAGAGTTTCTCTGAATACAATTTCCCTGCACAAGTATTAATTGAATTTGGGCGTTGTGCTGGGTAGTAGCATTGGGATAACTAAGAAATCATATTCTTAGTGTTCAGATGTGCTGGGGTGCAGTGCAGTTTAAAAAAAAAAAAAGGTCACATTCAGTATTAATATTTAATTCAGCAATAAAAACAAGCAGTGCAGAAGTGGTGTGAGTTTTTAAAGTATCAACATTACCTCACTAAACTTAACAGATATGCAAAATTATCAGTATTAATTGTTTTGTAACTAATTTGTACTGTTTCCCAGCATTTCTGGTAGTATTAAAACAGCACTGGATGTTTTACTGCCACCTATATTATTACTTTGTGCATGTTGCTGAAAGATGTTAAGTAATAGTAATATGCAAGTGTATTCTTAAACACTGACATCTTATTAGGCAAAATATGAGGTTTTGGTTTTTTAAATGATGATAATTGATGAATAATGAATTTTTAAGCTTTCAGAATTTTTTTATACTTTGTCACAAGCTTTTAGACTTTCTGGATTACACTGCTGAAGCACAAAATGTAGAGATTGCTGTTCTGTAGAGACAAGTGTTCACCTACTAGTCAGTTTGTTTCTCATATGTGTTCCTGGAATAATGCAAAAAAGGTCAGAATTACTAACCTGAGTCTATATGCTTTTCTTTCAACATTTGTGTGTAACTTTGAACCTTGTCTTTGAAAGGCTGAGCAGTCTCAGATGGTGATGCCTTGACATCTTATATTAAGATCAGATCGCAGGCTGAAGTTAACCTTCTGCCATGCTGCTGTAGGGAGTTTTTCCTATATGTGTTGTAGTAACAACAGCTTAGTCAGACCTGAATAAGGAAGCTTGTATTGGAACAACTTCAGCAATAAATTAAATTGTGCATCTGAAATAGCTGAAAATCAAGCTTGTCTGCTTCCTCCCTACTCAGTCCTTTTGTTCTAAGACTTAGCTAAGGACCTGTGATGGACAGCAGCGTTCAAGTGACATGGCAAGACCTTCATTGGGGTCCGCCCTTCGCATTAGTGAAGTCCTCTGGAAGCATTCAAATGCTGCATTCCTGAAAATATTTCATTAGGTGCCTAAATAGAAACTGGATTATTGTACAAGTCCGGCCTCTACCCTTTGTGCTGTGCTTATAGATGATACTGCTGTGGGCCTTGCGTACCTCCCCTCCTGGGCTCTTACTTTTTTGGGGATCTTGATGAAGACAGGACATTGTAACACAGTGACGATAATGCTTATTCAAATTGAATGATTTAAGCTCCTAGAATGCTTGTATCAGCCAGCACTTGAATGGATACAGAAGGAGATGATCGCTTGTATGCAGACCTCATTGCTCAATGAATCTCACCTACCTAGGAAAGGAAGACAACACCGAGACGCAGCAGCCTTCTACAAATGGTAAAAGGCTTTCTACTAATTAGACTTCAGAAGGTCTAGAAAGAAGACTTTTCAAATGTGTTGTGTTACACTTCTTTATACAAGATTACCATCTCAATTACAGGGAGGCCTTTCCCATCCCTCTTTCTGCAAACTTTTCCACTCCTGTGTTCACAATAGGATTTTTTTTTTGGTTCAGGAGTGAAATTGAAGAGAGAGAAATACTCTTTTGGTAGAAATTCTTGTGTAATTTGATATCAGCTCTAGAGTTTCAGTTTTAAACTTTGTGCTGCTCAGTGTCTTGTGACCTAAACAATTTTTTTTCCCATGTATCCCTTAGATTTCTCCTGGGTAAAATGATGTGAAAAACTTACTTTGATCAGGTGTATCCTATAGCACAAGGTTAGCTATCTGATATGTTGCAAGTTTTCTTCTATGAAACCATGGTTTACTTCAGCTCAAATAATGGTGGTTGGTGTATAGTCTTTACCATTCTCCAGCACAATTTATTTTCTCTTAACCTCAGACTTTTATACTGAAACTCTTTAATGCTGTAGAGGTGCGTGACAAAGAATTGCTTTTGGTTCTTGTTTTTGAAGTTCAGCTGAAATATTCTCTTGAAAGTTGCTTACAATGGCATTTGTCTTAACTGTGGTTCTAGTGACTGTTCTAACTTACTGCAAGGTGGTCAAATAGTGTAGCAAACATGCATGACTTTTTGGGTTTTTTAATCACTTGTATGTTTATGCACAGCATGAAACTTCAATAAAATATCATGGTAGTCTTTTTTTTTTTAATGACTTAGGGTTATTTTTTTGTTCTGTCCAGGTTTCTCTTCCAGAGAACATCTAAGACAGGACAAATGGGAACAAACTAAAGCAGATACAAGCCAAATATGGAAACAATTGATCAGCAAGTCCAAAGCATTTGCTTTTAAATTAGTATACAACTTAAGATTCAAACCGGCATTGTAAGTAACTAGGTGTTTGGCGTGGCCTAAATAAGTGCTGCTCTGTGTAAAAGAGAATGGAACTGATGTGAAACCTCTGCTTTGGAGGAGATGAGGCTTTAGACAAGCCTGAAAAGTGATGCTCAAGTTAAAGCTTATTCTAAGTGGCTGAACTTCTCTATTACTCACCTTCCCCTGTTCAGCAGCCTCTTTGCCCGCAGTGCTCTAGGACAGCACCATTAGGGTCGCACAGTTCTCTCTGCAATGGAGACAACGCACAGCCCTCCAGGCTAGCAAACCTCCTTGCTCTTAACAGGCTACACAGGTTGCTACAGCTGGACAATGTTTTTAGCTGTAACCAGTATGTATGAGAAATCTGTTGCAGCTGGTTAAGTATGTTTGCATCTATCAGCTCCAGCTTTGAGAATGTCTGATTTTAAGTATCTGACTAGAGTCCAGTCTTGAATAGGTAGCATTAACTTGACTGTTAACAAGTAGAGGAATGCTCCTCAGTCACAATTACTTCTGAGAAAAATAGCCCCCTTCCAAATTCCAAGCAATTTAAGCTGAATATTTCAGTAGGTAGTCACCTTTTTCAGCGTAACACCAAAATCCTTTTTCAATTCAACTGGGTTTGCAATTACTACCCCTGTACTTCCTGCATTATTCTCAAAGCACAAAGTAATCACAGTTGTAATTCTGCAGTCAGGAGAAGGAAACCCTGATGAAAATCCCAAAAATTAGGCTGGAGAAGAACAAACAAGTGTTTCTGGGAGACGAATGCATCTGATGTGATTTCAGGAACATGGGTGCAAGGTTTTCCAGCACTACACTGAAAGACAATTCTAAGTGTTACTTTTAAGTCAGTTTTTCATACATATGCCTTTGTAGTTTGACCAAGCTACAAGACTTGTTTCCAGCCTCCCTGGCTCCCTGCAAGTCTCCACTCAGGCAGTCTTTGTTTTTTTTTAATTTTGTAAATCATATTTTGCACAGAATGTTTACCAGTGCATTACAAGAGTAAATATAAAATCTTGGTCATCTAATACCTCAGGATCTGTCATTTCAGTATACAACTTGAAATTTTTAATAACTAAATGGAGAAAAAACAACTTCCTCCAGTTGTTCAATATATATGAAGCCTCAAGATACCAATTTTTTTTTTCCCTATAGTAGATCAATTGTTTCCTGTAAGTTTTCATGCTCATTAAACTTGGGTTTATTTCAGATACTTTAAAAAAGATTCCAGTGAATGCCACCTATATTTAAGCTTTTAGAAGTTAAAGAAGTAACTTTTTCAATTGTAAACATTTGCCTTACTGCAAAGCTATCCTCTTCTTTTGGAAGTCCAATCTTGCAGCCTCTGCCCTGCCTACACTCTAGGTAACTCAGGAAATTCCTTTGCCAAAGTATTTAGATAGAACTGTCTACAGAGCAACTTTGTAGTAAAACATTACTTGCAGCTCATTATCAAGCATGGCATGCACACAAACTCACTCCCCTTTACTTGAAGAAGCACACAGTTCTTAGAGAATAATCAGTTTTACTATGATTTACAATAAAAACCATTTACAGCATCTCTGTGAAAAATAATGCCATTTTGAGACTGGCACAGGTGTTTTCCATTATCAAAGAGGAAGCTAATGTAAAATCTTTTCTTTTTTCCTTAAAGACTTCATAAAGTAATTTAAACATTTAAAAAAAAGTACCTTTAAAAAGTCTACTTTACACAACACTAACAAATCAGCATGCATGCAAACTTATTTAAACCGGACCAGCAGTGCTTGAATTAACCTTTTAAAAAAAAAAATAATAATCACATGAAGAGAGACGGTGAAGGTAACTTTACCTACACAAAAAGTCCTTTGGATATTACCGTTCAATAAGCCTGAACTCTGCCAGCAATGGCAGGTGGTCAGAAGAGTTATTTTCATTGGGAAGACCATTAACAGTCCAAAGATCTTTCTCTGTTAGAAGTGCCAGCCTGCCAAGAAGTTTTAGACCTCCATGAAAAGAATCCTCTGCTCCTGGTTAAAAAAAAAGTGGAAATTTCATCAGTGTGGGCTAAAAATCACACATTCATACATATGCAGAAGGAAGAAAACAGTATGGCAGAAATAATCTGAAGTCATTATTGTTCCATGCAAAATCACCAATAAGGTAGTTCAGAAATTCTTGTTTACTATTACTCTCACAGTAGAACTTATGATCAGTAGAGCTCAAAGTACTCAGAAAGACACCACCCCTCCATTTTGCAGAGGGATAAATTGAGGTAGAAAGGGAAAGGGATTTATTTGTTCATTGTAACTCGCCTGGAAAAGCCTCACACAATCCACTCCCATACCCTAGCACAACAGCATTGCTAAACAGAGCTGACACTTGCAAAATTAAGCATCTTTTGACAGTTACTGGTTCACATAATATTTTATTTCTGTATCCTCAAGCACACAGTTCTCCAGCAGGCAAGTCATACAGGAACTCTTGCTCATAAGGATGAAAGCCTTCTGGTATTTCCCTTCCTAACTAACTGTTCATCACAAGAAAGGGATCTTCCTTCATTATTTCCTGCTACTTATTCCTGTAATTGCCAAAAAAAAAAAAACCAAACCCAAAAAACAAACCAAACCCCCAAAACCCCCCAAACAAACAAACAAAACACACCACCAAAAAATCCCCCACCACACATACACAAGAAACACCACATTGCTCATGGAAGAGGGGAAGATGACTCACAGCCTTACTGCTATTACACCTTATTATGACACTATACTTAAAATATTTGTGTCCTCATTAAAAAAAACCAACAACAAAAAAACCAGAAAACTATCATCAGCAAAGATTAACAAGCTTTTTCCAACTCAGGTAAAAAAATTCCATTGAGAACAAGACCCTTCCATGATGTGTCAAACTTTTAGACTTCTTAAGCTAATCTGCTTGAGTGAGATGACTATTCAGCAACCCTAGCTATTGCTTTGAGAGCACCAAGACAATTCTGAGCAGTTTGAGTGCTTTCAGAACCAGCACAAACAGCAGCTGTAACTTCTTTGACAAAATATTTTCTGTATGGAAGTGATCAGCAACTTCAGAACTTCCTGGCTCAACCTGGTACTGGCTTACCAGCAGGCGTATTTTAAAGGATTATCCAGCCACTGTTAAACTCCTCAGATAGTTCAACAGCTTCACTCCTTTACCATCTGCCAGCTTTCCAGTTCTCTAACAACCCAGCAGCTGTTTACTGCTGCTCTGAAGAAAAGCTTTTTTGCTGCAAAGATGTCTCAGTAGTTCTAGACCACACGTCCGCCCCGCTCTTGAGCCAAATTTATCATTTGGCACAGCACCTGCATGTCTACAGAGGAGCAGTTTGTTGCTACAGAGAGCTCGGTCTGCCTGCAGTGATTAATGTTAGCTCAGAGCACTCTGGAACCAGCAAAACTGAGTCCTGCAGGACTCAGGTAGATACTGAACCCTGCTTTCACAGCAAATCCTGGATACCAAACCAAGTACTTTGCTAGGCATGACACAGACCAAAGCACGAAAGCTTAAAAAACAAACCCAACAACCTTTAAATGGAAAAAAGCCATCAGCCAGCCTAGACCACATTTAGTACTCACTTGTTCAGACTTTTGCAACTTTTAATACAGAGGCCCGGGTCATCAGAAAACTGAAAATCCAGACTATTACTTAGTTTCTAAGAACTAATGAATAAAAACTATACCAGTTTAAACTACTTGGAGAATTCAAGCTTGGTCCCATTCTGTACTCTGATGTGGGGTGAAGAATCTATTTGAAAAGCAAGTGCAGAAAGAAAAAAGTGCTATAGCTCTGCTGGGGCAATGATGGTGCAACAAAATATACAAACAGGTGAATTAGGATTAAATTTTGCACAAGGATGCACTCTGAAATCACACAGCACTCCATTAAATCACACAGCATTCAGAAGTCATTTAGATACTTCTCATATCCTAGTTTTTCAGTCAAAGCTTTTTTCTTCTGTATTGTGAAGCTTTTGTATTTGGTATTTTACACTAAGATAGCATTTACTGTGCATGTTATGACAAATGACACTTTTGTGCATTGACTCAATGAATTTTAACAATCTAGTCACCACCTTCATCCCTCGTACCTGGAATTTTCATTTCACATACTGAAAACAATGTCAATTTATAAAAATCAGTTGCAATCTACAGTGGGAGCAGGAGCAGAATCCAGGTTTCTTTGTTCCGAGTTCTGCAGAGCCATTTATCTGATAGCACTGCACCGTGCAATGACCTTTGACGATGGCACAAGGCACAGAACTAATGAGGACACGGAAAGCGCATTGCTCAGAAGCATCCACGGTAAGAGCACAAATGCAGTAAAGGATGGCACTTTGTCACCCAGCAAGAAATACACCCGCAGAGGTACCGTGTCTTTCTTGCACCATCTGGTGAGTTTTAGCTGCAACTGCAATCAAGAGAGTGACAACGGGGCATGTGCAAGTGACTGCTCTCAGAGCAAAGGCCACAGAGGTCATTTACTTCACAGACATTACATCAAGACTATCTGAAAAGTAACTTTCTAAGAAACAGTTCATTTATCAGTTTTAATGCACATCATAAATTGCCGTTCACCATTTTGCTGATTAGCTGATTGGAAATACTGCTTTGTTGTAGGTCTGCCCACTAAGGTCCTGCATGAGTTACTGACAGCAGTGTTTCTCGGGTGCTACTTACATTGCTGCTATTCTGTAGCCTCAGCTCTTGTCTCCATGCTGAGATGGCAACTACAGGAATGATCAGTCGGGTGAAAAAGTTTGCCCTGTGTGGCACTACAAGTCCAGGTGTGGTGAGTCGACAAGGCCAGCCACGTTTCTCAGATAATGGCTGACATTCAAAGCACCGCCACGAACCTCTGAGGTGCTTCATATGGATTAAATTATCACTACGTTTCCCTTAGAACAGCATCCAAATGTTCCCATTTAGCATTTGTGAAAAATAATTACAAGTTGGTTTCTTTACCTGGCTGGGCAGCAGTATCATCACTGGCTGCAGAATAGAAAATATAATCCACAGTGACAGCACTTCGGGAGTGACAAGTCGTTACTTCTGGTATCCCAGTTTCAGGAAAGTAATGAGAATAGACTGAAGATAATTTAAAATGGTGCTGCAATTTTGAAGACAGCCTAAACAAGAATCAAAGAAAAGAATTTTATTTTCTTATCTTTCCTAGAAATAATAAACAAATGAAGAAATACCAAATAGTTTCTGGTTACAAACAAAATTAATTATCTGGATGTGCAAACTAGCATTTCTCTCATGCAATCAATTCCATAGCCTTCTGTGTTAGCAGCCTAAACCTCTGAAGGCAAAATGCAGGCAGCTTTTTCAAGTAAAAGGCAGATACCTAAGAGCCTATCAAAACTGGCTTAACTGACACTTTAAATATACGTACCTTTCACCTCCACCTACACTTTGTAAGATTTCACGTGTCCTCATTCAGCAATCTCTCCCTGACACATGGGTAGAAGTATCCACAAGAGCAGCTTGTATGAAAGCAACAAACTATGAACTCATTAACCAGGCCCTTCAGCATATACAGAAATTAAGATTTTTATTTTTTTTTTTTCCTCCCCTAAACTAAAGCTGTCAAGTGTTTTCAAGTTAGGCTATGCCTAATCTTCTTTCCTCCACTCAGGCTCCCATTTTGTCTCTCCCCATCATATGTCAGTCTGTTCCTCTTCAGTTCAGCCCATCTTGTCTCACCTGTTTTTTCAAACCTGAAAGCAAACTGCACCTTTCAGCAAAAGGACTCCTCCCTCCCTCCCTGCCATTTGCTCCTACCAGCTCTGCAAATCATCCACCCCTCAGCTATACGGGCCTCACCTGGCACAGCTGCATGTTAAACCTCAGCTGCAATGTGTTCTGGTTAAAAACCAAGCAATTAAAAAAAAAAAAAAAAAGAAGTCGTCAGCATGCCACCTGCCTGATTTAGAGAAGACTGACAAACATGCCAGTTGGTACAACACACACATACACAGTTAGGGCAATTCCTTACTTTATAGGCCTTTACCAGTTTGGTAAAGGCAAACATATTCTTCCTTTCAAAAAGCAGTTACATTTTCCTTCTCAGCAGTCTAGCGGTAGCTTCCTCCTTCAGTTTAATGAGCAAATGTTTTGATCCAAGTAAGATTTGTACTACCAAACCCATAATACTCTGAGTTTCTGGGAATCAAAGAACTTAAATTCTCCCATAGAACTCCTGACAAGGAAGATTTTATGATCTTTCCAGTTCCTTTCCCTCCTTTACCCCAATTTCACATTGCATTATAGGATTTTATTAGCATCTGCAAACTGGTATCTCAAAAACAGTAAAAAGAGAGAGAAGTGCCAACACTTAAGCAGCTGGACAGCACTGGGATTTTTTTGTTGAATTCCCCCCCCCCCCCCTTTAAAACATGGTTTCTGCAACTGGACTGAAGTTCACAGCTTTCCTATGATGTCACTACACGGCAAAATGTCCCGTCCATATCAAGAAGTGACAAAAAATGTCAAAGGCATTCTTTTAATAAGCAGACAGAAAGTACCCCTTGAACAGCACTGACACCTTGCCTCTGCATTCTGAAATAATATCTGCAAGTTCCCGCAAGAACACACACTCCATGTGTTATTTCCAGTTCTAGTCTGTTGCTCTCTGATTAGCCTTTCCACATTTAAATGGAAGATGATGTTTTGCCACATGGGCAGACGGGGTTGGGTGAGCACCTTGTATCCACGCCTGGAATCAGATACAAGTTTGGCCTAAAACCAAAACAAACCCCCAAAACTAGGAACCAGTCAAGGGCTTCCATTTTTTCCCCCCAACACATACTTTTCAGATGCTATTACAATCTCTTGAGTGTTGTCCAGTTTTGCCGCTTCCAATTTTTCTCCTGCAAAATAAAAATACATTCAATTTACATTTAAAAATAGGATGTAGGCAAGACCAATATTGAAGAGGTACAGAAAAGAAAAGCTACAGAAAAAGATATCTTTAAGTACACTTATTTTTTGCAGCAGGCAAGATAGAATTCAAAGCTGGATTAAATTCTTCTGTTCCATTAGCAAGATCCCCTCCAAAGACTCTTTCAAATTATGTCCCATTCATTTAAAATTGTTTTTTTCTGTCAAAGAAAGAGTGGTGGATGAAAGATGTAATAATACTCAGCAGGGAATCACTTGCTTTTCCCACTTGCTACATAAAGTGCTTGCACTATAATACATAAACACTGAAGCAGAACATGGGTTCACATTACATACACATGCTACATTCCTCCATCTCTTTTCCCTGTCACAGCACAACTGGCTTTCATGATGAAAACACAGGAGTTTAAATATTATGCACCAGCTCCCGAATGGCAACTTCTAACTATTATCTTCTAAAGATTAAAATTTGCAAATGCTTATGAGAACAAATAACTTTACACTCTGGTGAGCCCAACAGGAAGTTTTGCAAGCTCAAGATTCACTTTTTTCCCCCCCACTAGAACAGATCATCTGTTTTTCAGTGCTACCTGAATGATACTTTCCAAGGACCACAAAATTCATCAACCTAGAAACTGACCTGCATTTTCTTCTTTTTGTTGCTGTTTTATTTCATATACACAGTTTTGCGAAATACCCAATTTTTTTGGCCAAATTGGAATAGATAAGATTCTTTGTCCCCTTGGAAACTGTTCTTGTCCAGAGACCTAGAAAAGACAACATGAGTTTTTTTCAGACAGAAATCTGATTTTTAAAAAAAATTGAAATGAGCAGACATTTTTTGTAAAGTTTAAAGTTTCAGCAAAAAAAAAAAAACACCCCAGCCTCCTAGAATACATCTTTTACAATGGCTTGTCAAATCTCTGTAAAAAATAATACCACCCCGTATGTACACCTCCTTTGTTTACTCTTGTCAAGTTTTTTTGCAGCTACCCAATTTTTCAAGATAGTTCTTGTGACACTAAGCTGAGAGACTACCAAGAACACTTTTAGCAATGTAAGAGGACTGAGTATATACAGCTCCCTAGCAGACGCTTACTTTATCTTCACGATGCTTATTCTTCTGGGAGCAAGTCAAGTCAAAGCGGGGCTTGAAACAACAACCCACTAGTAACAGACACCAGTGGGGCTATTTTTTCATGTTTTCTCATTGTATGTACTCCAGTTACTTTCTATTAACTAGGACTTGACACATCCAACAGCTACATACAAGAGCTAACAACAAGAACTGTCTAACCTGAAACAGCTTAGGTTCAGCATGTAATTGCATTTTTGCTTTTACAATTATTCTAGCCACTGTAATTGAAAGTCTGTCTAAAATAAGAGTCAGCTTTCCATAGAGTACACAGTAGGTATTTGATTAAGTAGTTATTTTATCCTACTTAAACACTGGGACACTTAAAAACTTGCAAACAAATTAATTGTTCTTGAAAGGTAGTTATCCACAGGATGATTTTATCACTGTGTTTTAATTTCGGAATGCTAGAAGTAGGTACAATATTCTGTAAGGCACAGCTAATATAGCCAAGCTTATTTTAGTAACTCCACCGTAACTTTCGCTTTGCAGACTGTGTAAAGGGCACTAAGATTGGTACTGCAAGGGAAATAATCACAAGCCAAGCTATAGCATGTAGGATCACTCAATTAAATAGGTCTCTTTAATCAGCATTAACCTTTTTTTTTTTTTGTGAGAAGTGAAAAGCATAGCCTACCTTCCCTATAGCAAGTCCTTCATAATTTAACTTTCCTTCCTTTATAAATCTGTACAACGGAGAACCAGGAACAGAATTGAAGTCGCCACAGATGATAATTGGACAGAAGGTACCGTCCTTCTGAGGGGCAACGCTAGCAATCTCTGCCAGGAGCATTGCAAGTTGGGTCAGCTTGATGTCCCCTCGCCTTGGGTTATACAGCAGATGTGTATTGGCTATACAGACCGCAGCATTAGTTTTACAGTGAAATCTAGGCTGCAAAAGCAACACCAGTCCAACGTTGTCCCTGTCCAAGAGTGGAATATCATGGCGAAAAAATTCCACAGGGTTTGATGAGATCAGGCTAAATTTGGAAGTTTTGAAGCAAATAGCACACCCATCAGGTTTTCTCCCTGTCCTCATTTTATACTCACAGTGATACCCTGCAAGAAAGGCAATTAAAAACATAAAATACCATTGTATAATTAGAAATTATTTTTTTAATAAAGTAGAAAAGCCTCACGCTACTTTTCTCACACGGCAGGCAACACCCAGTCTGAAGTACCAAAGACTATGTAAAGATCACGCAGAAAAGTGAACACGAGACTTTCTGTCCAGGCCATGTGCTCCTGCCAGTTGCTGTTAATTAAGTAAGCCAACAGAAAACTAATCCAGGAAAGTAAAATTAGTCTGGATAGCATTCTGCTGGACTGGTGGATTTCACCAGGGTAAGGGTCTAGTGAGTGTCAGAACTAGCCCAGAGGAAAGGGCAGGACACGCATCTGGGAGCGGAGAGGGGAAGAGGAAGAGCTCCAGATCCTCATGTACAGCAGCAGGAAGCTCAGTTGCCCACATGAGCCTGGCCTTACAGTGTTGTTTCAATTTCAAGTAGATTTAATTCGTTACTGCCATTACTCTGTCTTCTGTACAAACACTCAGTTCTGGGAGCTAGACTATCACCAACTAACCAAGAAAGAAAAAAGTATCAGTCCAGTGCTGCTCCTTGAACTGGCTCCTCCTGGCATCAGACAAGTACCAGTGCCAGGAAGAGAGCGGGGCCCTGGGACTGGAAGTACGTGTAAGGCACAACAGATTTAGACCAGTTTAAACCACCATGGAATCACACCCCTAGCAGCATGTTCCTTACCATAAATTCACACAGCAGAGCGATAAGACAGCGCTATTCAGGCTGACTGACAGTACTTGTATAAAAACTAAGGAATACAAACTGACCATGGATAAAATTTAGTGCTGATATTTGGAAGGTTTCAAGCCAGAAAAAACATACCCTAGGAAAGCTATCCAACCAGAATACTGGTAGAAAACACTAACGTGGTTTCAAGAGAGCACTTGAATTTATAAAAGGGGGTACACAACATTGTTGCATGTGATGGCAGGAGATTTGATTCTACAATCTAAGGGAGTTTTTTTGAAGAAAATAGTACTGGGGCAGGGGAGAAGACAATGCATTGGTCATAAGAGTTTCACCATACCCAGGGATTCCAAACTTGACTTGATCTCTGTTCTATAGTGGTCTTCTTGGACTTCTTGTAAACAGAGTACCTAAGGCAAAAGTTTTAATTAAAAGATATTAGTAAGTACATCAAAATATTACCACATCATATCTCTCTTGGCCAGTCTGTATAGGTATTAAAAAAAATTCAGAGGCTTTTTGCCTCCATAATCCGACAAAAGGATTCACTCTCCTATAGAAAATGCTCCTTAAGATTGTGAAGAGGGCCCCAATTCCCCTCATCCTTTCTCAGACAGACATACATTTTCAGATGTGAAATTAAATTTAATCAAAGTAGTGGCCCACTAATACATTCTCAGCAGTTTAGGAGAGGGATAAATGCCAGAGAGGTGGGATGAAGAGGCCAAGGCCACACTTTTCATTAACTACAGCGTGGACAGCAGGTTTCCATATTATGAGAACCTGAACCAAAGATCAACCTCAAAATACTCCATTAGGAGAGTTCTGAGCATCTTGGAGCCTTCTCCCTGCACGCTGCAGTAACACACAGATTTACAGACACTCTGGGACTCTGACAAGGGACTGAGTTCGTGTGCTGAACTGCAGCAACAGACTTCGCTTACCCAGCTGACACTAGCTCATTCAAGGTCTCAAAAAAGAACCAAATCTCAAGCAATATTCTGAAGTCTCTGCTTCACTTTAAGGTGACAGTTCAAAATAACGTATCAGTTAAAAGTTTATGTCCTGTAGCAAGAACTTCCACTGCACAAAGGGCGCCTGCCTCAACTAGGGTCTGTGAGCAGCTGCTCGTCATGACGCAACACGTGCAATACACGGCATCACCTCTTTACCCCAGTGCTGCGTTGTGTGGCTCTGCAGAGCTCAGCAAGTACCCTGAACTGAACTGCTCTTTGCTAGAGGGGCTGGCTTTGGCTCCAGCCCTTCCATGCTGGAGAACTGTCTGTTACCACTAACAGCACCAGGCAGAGTCCCTCTGCCCAATGCTCCTCCCAGAAAGCCCACTAACGTATCTCACTGTAAAGATAAATTTATACATCCTGTATGTATGTATGAGGAAGAAAGGAAGAGCTTGAAGGCAACTTTAATCTCCAGCCCACAGCCAACCAAGAACACGGTAAGGTATTTTTTCAGACCCCAATATAAACAGAAGTTCAGAGTTATGTCTCAGTAAAGAACAGCAAGCTTGTTGACAAGTCAAATGGAGCAGAGTACCAGATGAAGAGAGAAATGAACACCTGGGAATATGTTTGCATCAGTCTCACATGAATGCTACTAACACCTGCACCTTTCTCTCAACCTTGAACATTAATCTCAAGAAAATGGAGATCCACATAGCAGTCTCATCACTCCAGCCCTCATACAATCAAAAAAATAAAACATTTGAGACTGCCTTCCAAATGAAGGATTCAGACATGATTGTAAGTTCTCCATGACCGGATCTAACAAATGGCTCTGAAGGATTAGCAGCTAGATTTTAGAAAGGGACTTTTGATTCAGTGAGTATACAGACACTTGTTGTAACTACTACCTAAACAAAGTCACACACCTGGAAGTTAGAACATGCCAGTTCTGGAGGTTGCCTTAATTTGACCCTCCTGTGTGCATGCATACTGTTTTTCCTCCACAAAAACCTGGTGTGCAAGATTAAGTGTTTGCAAATATGATCAATTATTCAATCTTGCACTTCCTTTGCACTAAATAACTTATGGCGCAATTAAAGAGAGCCTCCAGCTCCAGAGCTTCCTAAGTTGTACAGTCCCAGAAGCTGAGACTATCCTGGAGAAAGGTACCCCGTTTTCCTACTCCGAGCATCTATCATTAGCTACCGTTACAAACACGACAAAGGTGGACCTTTGGCCTATGCAAGGATAGCAGTTCCTATGATCGATGCCTTATTTACAGCACTCTACTCAAGCATGCTCTAGGCACAGACTTGAGAAAAATTTATGTGAAGAAAGAAGGTTTTGGAATTATAAAAAAATTGCAGTGTATCAGCAGAACAAAGTCATGTCAAAAAGACCATTCCAGGAAGTTATGGACAAAAAATAGGCAACTATGAGTGACATGTGCTGTAGAGTTTGCCTTTGCTGTAAGTTCAGATTGCACAGAATACACTAATAGCACAAGCATAAATCAAAATCATTAAGCATGACGTAACTAAAAGCTCAGCTGGATTCACTAGACAGCCCACCTATCAAAATAAAGAACAGCAAGAATTTGCTACTCCAGTTTACCAGGTCTTAAGAAATATCCACATGCTCATCTTCTACTCACATCTGCATCCAGCTGTTTGATTTCTTGTAGAATGTTGGGAAATCTGTACGTCCAGATTAACAACCGTTGCCTACAGTGTTTGTACAGGTGGGAGTTATCTTCTAACAAATTCTGTGAGAGGATATTGTAGGACATGACTGTAAAATCAAATGTTGCCTCACTTTCTGTATTGCTTTGCTCGGTTTCTTTATTTTCAAAGATTTTCATTGTTCTACTGTGCTGACAGAAATATTCCCAGTGTCTTTTGACGGTTCCTGTTAAAAGCAGATGAAGCAGAAAAAGTTATGTAATACATCATACAACTTCTTACTGCTCTTAGAAATCATTCTACTGACAACTAGTTGTCTTCTAAATTGCTTAAGCAATTCTAAAAGCTCATTTGATTAGCAGTGATTTAGACCCTCTGTTTAAGATGAACTTTATATAAGCATCAATAAAAAACAAAACAAACCCCAAAACACAGCACAAAACCATTATATGCTGTGGATTTCAAACTGCTTTGAAATTAGGAAACCGGCATGTTCTAAGGAGATCGTTGCGGTCAGACTACACCACCCTGCTCCCTGTAGAAAGGCTGTCAAACTGGTAAGCCAAACCCAGTCTGTTGACATAGTCTTGTGCTACCTTCTGCCACTACCTCCTCAGTGGAGATGGGGTACGTCAGTCTGGGATACACCCTTTAGAGCAGCATATGGACATCTTGATCTCCCTATCCATGACTAACAAAGGGTTAGGAATCAAACAAAGGGTTCACCGCTAGCCTGTGTACAGTCTGACAAACTCAGCCATAAGCTGCAACAGGGTCCATTACAGGGGTCCCAAAACAGATAATGAACCTGATTTCCCTCAGTGAGGATGAGAAATTAAAAAACTGGTAAGCCTCAGAATTACCAAGAACTTCTGAAAAGGCTTACTTGCCTTTCTGCCATTCCTACTTACTATTAGTATCATTATATCCAAGTTTGTAAGGATATATCTGCCCATCATTAAGCATCCAATTATTTTTCAGATATGTATTTCTCCACTTACAAAACTCATAAACAAAGATGCCTTTCAACTATATCCCAACTCATCTGAGAGCATGCCAAGGTCCAGTTATCTGTGCTATCAACTATGGGCAGCCTGCAGCTATAGCTGTTAGCGTCTGCCCTATTTGGGCAGTAAATTCCATCGCTGTGCTTACATTATTCAGGACTTTATCTAGTATTTGCAATGAATACAGCAAGGCTTTAAGTACTGTTTCTATAGTGGGAGAGAGGCCACACTGCTCCTCAGCAGGTATCTTTAATTACTGCCACCTTACGATATGCGAATAAAAGATAACTAGGAAGGACCTAGGAAGGACCACAATGCCAACTGCTCTCCGAGATAAAGGTATGTCAAAATGTACTTGCTAAGGGGGTTGAGAGAGGACTCGGCAATAAAGGCACAAAGCAAACTTCCCTTCCTTCAGCTCCTGAAGATGGATATGATGTTTCTACGGGTATTTGTGTCCAAAAACCCCTTTGGGGTTGCTGCCCTTTTCAGTCATAATACAACTTCCAGTTTATTTTGTTAAGGAAGTGATTTATGCAAGAGGGGGCCAATTTTGACTGTGCCCCTCTATCTGTTTCACAGTAGACAAAACTGTAAATATCCACAATACTCAGTAAAATATTTGGATGCTATGTAGAAGATCACATCTGTAATAAGCTGAAGCAGACACTTCCAAGCTTCATGAAAGTCTCTAACTGAGTTGGGTAGACATCTTTGCACTTCTTATTGTATTTATCTGGATAAGCACATTTGCTGTTTACTCTACCAGTCATGGTCTGACACAAAACTCGCTAACATGCCAGTGGTAGAATACAGTTGTAAAAACAAACCCACACAATCACACTGGAAGCAAAAAAAGCATTAAATCTCAGTCCATTAATTCTCAGTTATCTAGGTCACAAATAACTCAACTGGCTCGGAAAGAAGCCAGTTCAGGTCCAGCAGGGCTTATGAGCTCAGGTACAGCATAAGGAATGAAGCTATACAACTGCCAGCCCAGCTCTGCCCTACTGTAACTTAGCGAAATCTTTTTGCTTTAGGAGAGTTCCCAAGTTAACAGATCTGATCTGGCAACAAATACCTGAGAGACAGTTGTCTGAACCAAGCTCGGGACCTCCCAGCTGGGCAATCCCTTGCATAATTGACTGTGTTCTACCACCAAGCACAGCAAACCTAGTTCTGGCAGACTGTTTGACAGCACAAAATACAAGTTTACAGACTAAACAGCGTTACAAAACTAACATTTTATGACATGTGTTTTCTATGAGAGAGGTGCCAAGAAAAAACGTAACTCAAAAGGTGCAGGCAATGTTGCTTATAACTTGTTAGACATGTTTAGCATTACAAATAAACAAGAAAAATAAGCAAAGAGCATCATTTACCTTTCTTGCTGCTATGTTTTTCTTCAGAAAGACACAATGCTTCCTTCTGATTAGAGAAGTTTGTTTCTTCTTCAGGAGTTGAAGTATCATGCTGGCCACTGAGTCTTCTCTTCTTTGTCAATGGTTCTTCTCCCTCCGATTTCATACTGGGGTTAGGTAGGTGAAAACAAGAACTTTGCGTGAAGTTATCAAGCTGCCAATTAGAGTTCTGAAATTGTCTCCAAGGTCCAAAAAATGGAGGGAGTCTCCAGTTTGCTGAGAAATCAACTGGAGCAGGAAGTGGAAACGAGGCCCAGGGATACTGTCCGGCCCATCTCATACAGCTGGAGACTGGGCTGTTCAAGGCAAGTATCTGAGAACCATTCCAGTGGGCGATCCAGTCTCTGCCCAGCCTCTGCACGTGGCGGGGCAGCATGGAGTGTCTACCAAAGAAAGCACGGGTTTCATTACTTGCACACAACTACATCCACCTGCAGAAGACTGTAGATGCAAGTCATCCTGGTCATGACTTATACAAGATATTCTTTCTCTACAAGTTAACACATACAAGATATTCAAACCTTTTTAGATACATAGAAGATATTTAAACCTTTATCTACATTATATGCGAAGTGGGACTTTACAAAGCAATCTTGTATCTTTTTTCCCCTTCAGATTTACAAATGCCATTTAATTTCCAAACTCTATCCATCTGAATAACCATTTACAATTTTTCTGCCTTGTTGAATTCAACCATCAGATCTTTCAAGTGCTCAGTGGAATGACCTTTACAAAAGGTCATTTTTGCATGCTGCATTAACTTTATAATAAGGTTATTTGTAAGGAATCAGAAAACCCCTTTCCTTCAACAGTCAGAAATTTGTTTAAAAAGCGACTGACTTGGCTCAAACCACAATGCCAACAAGACGGGGAAACAGAGGTACTCACTCTCACGCCATCTCTGGCACCAGCTTATAGAGCAAGTTTGTATTCTTATTTGTTTCCCAGGTGGGAAAACTGCAGCTTAGTGATTAAAGCCATGAAAATAAGGTGTTTTTTTTTTTCTTTTTTTCCAGAAAAAAAAAATAAAATCTGAGTCTCAACAAAAACGCAGGAAGGATGGCTGAGTGACAATCTGCCTCAGCTTCCTCGTTGTTTAAATAAGGCATATTTTGAGCTTACAAGCAAAAGACAACAATGTTTGGTATGCCTGAAGTTAAACTAGAGCGAGAACCTCCTAGCTGCCACTCAGCCTAGCGAATAAGCCTAAACACAGCTCTCAGCACAACCACCTCGCCCTGAAACAGCAGCTCCACGGCGACACACCAGAAGCAGCTCGCCAGACAGCTAAGCAAAGCGCACCCCGGGGCGGCGCGGCACGGCCCGGCCTGAGGGGGCAGCCCGGCGGACGAGGCGCCTCTCCTTTGCCAGGACCTGCTCAAACACCTGTTTTATGGAAAAGCGCCGAGAAAGGCTCCCCTCCTAACAGCCCGGCCCCAGGCGAGTACTGCCCCACAGCCACCTACACCCGCCAGAGGAAAACCCCAAGCCCGCTCTGCGTTTTGTTTCCCGCGGCCCTGCTCTGGCTAATGGCGGGTATTGAAAACAAGCGACTGCCAATCACCCCCGGGCCGGGCCGGGGGCTCTGCTCCCACGGCAGCGGCCGGGCCGCTCCCCCGTACCCCCCCACCCCGACGGGGCGGGGGGGGCCCCC